AAAAGTACTTGAATTTTGGGAATGGTGCTTGAAATTGAGATAAAGTGCTTGAAAATGTAAATGCTTTACTTTTACTATAAATTGCTGTCTGACTGAACAGTTCGCTTTTTAGATTAAAAGAAAAGTGGTAGATGACAGACAGTATGCCAGGAGGTTGCAGTTTCAACGAGCGTTGGCTAACAGAAGACAAATACAAGCCATGGCTAAGACNAATGTAAATATTCTCCCTGTTATGTCTGCCTGCTTTATTTTACCTAATGCAAAGTGACCTGCTCCATTGAAATCAATTGCATTGACCCGAAGACACATTTTGAGTTGTATACACTGTTGGAAAGAGGAGATTATAGCTTTCTAATGATATCAGGATTGTTGTTGTACTCCAAATATTAAGCGAAATATGTCACATTATATAATGACTGAGTCATCATTTTGAGAAAAAGGCCTTTAAAGTTTCCTCTTCTCTGGAATCCATCGATCTGATTGATTATTAGCGGAGCAAATTATCAAAATATACTACGGAGGGAAAATATTTTCGTTTGGATTACTGGTCTGGGGGGAGCTCGCGAGTGTGTGTGTGTACGTGTGTGTGCTTGTGTATTTTTGCGTTTGTGTGTATTGTGTTTGTTTCCCGGGGAAAACACTCACGAGAAACACCGGCTGTTGTTATGCCTGCTGTGACGTCAAGTTACTCCGTTCTCCGCTTGTAATTATGTAGTTACAAGCTTCAAAGTTGTATTCATCATCTGNAATCATTTCAGAGGAGCATACCTATGTTATGTGCGTTACAGTCGCCATCGTGTGGTGTTCAGAGGATGAAGCATTCACGGCATTTCGTTTTATAGTCACGAAATATAATCTATTGATTCGACACAGAGCGATTTTGAAAGCAATGTATTTCTACTGGTAGTATGTTTTGTGCCTAAACCAAATGTGACTTGCTCTATCGAAATCAGTCACATTGACCCAAAGACTCATTTTCGTTTGTATTACTGGTCTCGGGGAAGCTCGCAAGTGTGTTTGTGTATTTTTGCGTTTGTGTACCGGGGAAACGCTTACAAGAAACACCGGCTTTTGTTATGCTTGCTGTGATGTTACATTAGTCCATTCTCTGCTTGTAATTATGCCGTTACAAGCTTCAAAGTTGTATTTATCATCTGAATTTGCCGAAACAAGTTTAATATTCTGAAAGCCAAGACTCTGTTTATTTGAAATCAGATGAAAACAAACTGTAACGGACCCTGCCGTGTTATCTATGATTACTATACGCCTTACATTCATAATTTCAGCGGAGGGAGGGGAAGCGGCGCTGTGGAAGAGCAGAGTGGCGAGTGAGGGCTGTCATCTTCCCTTTACAAGCTTCAAAAATGCCTGTAGCTAATGAGATTGAATATAACAATCAAACATATCAAAATATACACAGCTAGATCAGATCGCGTTCTTTTTAGATGCGACTTTAGAGTAGAGGGGAATTTTTGAAACGGGATGTACAGTGTTCCGCGGCATCCGCTGCTGCGAAAATGTGGTGCAGGGCTGTAAAGTGGGGGGGGGCAATGGCCCCCTGCTTCTGACGCCCTTGGACGGGTGAATACGGTTGCTAACCCAAAAACCAACCTGGCCACAACCAACATGCAAGACTCAAGGCAAATTGGAAAATAAATGTGTGACTTCACAGCGGCGAGGTGAGCTTCCTAAATACAGTTCAACACTAAAAGCGGTTTAATTTATACTCCAATCCACACTAACATTTGTGATGTTTTCTCCACCTACACACAAACATTTCGGCAGAACAATAGAACAATATACCACAGGGCCTAATTCGTTTACAGGCTTTGTTCCCCCAACAATTAACCAGGACCGTAATCAGGGCTTCCTTTGAGGCTAAGCTATTGTCTGTTTGAACTGCCGTGAGTGCAGGTGTGTGTTTTAATGTATTGTAATGTGTTTTTGGGACTCACCGTGGTCGTGCGCAAACGCCAGCATGGACAGTTCCTTCAGTCTTTGTGCGATCTCATCATACGGCCCACAATGCTCCCCAGCTCCATGGGCAATATACACCAGAGCCCTGAGAGGAGGAGAGGAAGGAGTTAATTTAAGTGTTAACAAAAGCAGGCTTTCTTAAACCTCTATTTTGTGTGCTATCTTGCACAGATAAAAACAAACAGCAGAAGTTTGCATTTATCTACAAGGAAGCGTCATCTTTCCTTGACTTATCAAAGGGTTCCATTGGAGAAAGCTTGAAGACATATCTCCTTCCGTACAATACGAAGAGCAGAATTGTACCATAAAGGACAAAAAGGGAGAACAAAATGATGCAAAGTTTTGTGTGTGAGCTTCTTTCCTGGAAACATGTACCGTAAATATATCTCTGTACGTCATTCTTTTGACTACTTGTGTCTGGGTGTGTGATTGAGAGAGATAGAGAGTCAGAGATGACAGAAAAAGAAGGGAATGTTAGTAGAGATAGCAACTATCATTCATCTGTCTCTCTATCTGCCTCAACACATCCTTCCTTTCTAGCTCAAAGTAAACACTGAAGGAATCCAGTAAACAAGTGGTGACTAATTCACAGAAATCAACTTTGACTGTTTTTGTTTAAACTTAAGTTCTGTTTTCGGAGAGTATTCATTAAAACATTCAGCAAAATGGAGCTTTATACGAATGTTTCTTCAGAACAGTTGATTCAGTGAGTCATTTTCCAACCAAAGGCATAAAAAAAGTTAAAAAAAGATCAAATATGCGTAGTTTTCCTGTTGCTTGGTGCAACAGAAACTATTTTGAAGTTGAGAAAATGATTCAGTTAATTGCACAGGAATTTTGTTTCTCACATAAGTGACTATAAACCACTTCTTGGGTTGGGTTTATGGTCAGCAGCTCAATTGTGTTTACCCACTTACTGCTCATGGGGACATAACATATTTCTGTATCTTATATCTCGGCAGCTGTTTCAATTCAAATTCAATTAACACGTTTTTTTCAATCTCCTCCAGGCCCACTTGAGTCCAAACATAACTAAGCTGGCTTTAAAGAGATGTTGGGAGGTTGTTGAAACAGATGTGGTTAAAGGTGGGGTAGGTAAGTTTGAGAAACCGCCTCAAGATACACTTTTTGTTATATTCCATGGAATGCTCTTAACATCCCGATAGCAATGAATATCTTAAGTGCTTTGACAAAAAATCCATAAAAAAATGTCATCTGTGGAAGCAGTAGTACTGTAAAAAGCACGACCAATCATCTGAGCCGGCCCGGCTAAAATAACTGGATGGCCTACCTGCCTGTCAGCCTTCCATCTGTGCACAAACTTATCTCGTGCCCTCATTGGTCATGTGTGCGTTCGTGTGTGTTGAAGGAGGGGCTCTGTAAGGAAGTGGCAGATTTTTTCCGGCTGTGTATTTTCAAATTCCAGCACACTCGAGCTGGTTTCTCCAAAGGTGGATATACAGTATGTTTATATAAAAATGATGTATCAAATTCCAATATGAAAACAGTGTGAAATGTGTCACTGCTGGGGAAAAACCTACAGATGACAGATCTCTATGCGAGTTTCAACCAATTGTTTTATGAGTCTCACTGTTCTCATAGAAACAATTATTGAGATTGGCACCAAACAGCAGATTTAGGAACTAGCCGGTAAACAGACTGTTGGCCTTTAGCAGAGCCACAGATTTCACTCAGGAGTTGGAAAAAATCGGAGCTTGAAAAGAAGGAAATTATTAGAAGAAATACAAGGAAGTAAACATTGTATTGTAGTGTGTAGTTTAAGTGCTTACTGCTTGTGTTGTTCCTTATACTAATAGGTTAAGGGGTTATAATATTGCCTACAGGCATATGTAAGCCAGGATAATTGGTCAATAAAGTCTTTGTCTACCTTTTCTTTGAGGTACCTCAGTCTCATTACACAATGCACCAAGCAATCTGTCAAATGTCCCAAAGGTAAACTCCAGCGAGCACCGAATGTCAAAGAAAATGCTCTTTACACATTTTACGGCTCATTATTTAAAAGCTACCAGGAGAATCCATTGTTAATTTCACCTATTAAATCAATTTCAGCCAGGAAAGAGAGAAGATATATCATGTAAAGTATACTCTTTCAAATAAATGGTGGTTTAACTTAATGTTCTCTCGGAAAGAAGAGACCTTTTGGTTAATTAATGCCAAGGCTGTGCGAGCAGGTCTGTAAAGTTGTACTTCCTCTATCAGTGCATATTAAGCAGGGAGCTGAACTGAAACCCTGCAGTGTTCCTCCTCTAAGCTGCAGTGCTGAGAAGCTTCAATCAGCAGCAGACAATTAGCCCAAATGTATTCAGCGACAGAGAAAAAGGGAAGGGAGTGAAACAGGGAGAGAGTGTGTGAGAGTGTGAGGCGGGTAGAATAAGAGTAGCTGTTCATCAGGCTTCATTATCAATTCTCCCGCTGCTCTTTCCCTCCTTTTAGAAAAGCCATCGCCTCGGGGTAAGACTTCCTCTGCACTTGTTGTGTGTGAACATGTGAGTGTGTGTGAATGAGTGTCTTTGTATAGGCACAATGTTCTGAGACACATGCAGAGGGGCAGCAGTGGGTGGGGCTAATCTGGCTTCATTGTAAAGATAAGTGTACAGTGAACCACACACTACAGTTTAATGTGACGTTTTTTATTTGAGTCCTTTCTTTTTGAAGGCGTTATCCATCCATCATTCTCTATTTACTTCTTTGTCTGCTTCATAACCTCACATTTTTCTCCATCTTTGGTTTCTCTTGTCAATTTCAGAGCTGTCATGGACTAAAGAAGTCATTTAAATATCTCTAACTCACAGTTTAGCAACAACATCATTTGTAGATTTAATCGACAGATCAGTAAAACGGGTTTCCCCACAGAATATCCTGTAAAAGCACAACTTTGAATCTTGTTTTTACCAGAGATGTGCTTATAAGTTACTTTGAAATAATTTATTCACTAAATCTCAGTCGACTTAGAGCAAAATCAGGGCAGGCCTAATGATGAGTACCCTCGATTTGCCAGATAGATAACACATAAAATGATGACGGCAACATGCCTGGTGACAGCCAACAGCAGGAGATGTCAAATATTTTTCTCAAGGATTTAATTAGCCACAAATCTGATCTTGACAGCAGTCTGCATTCATTCAGATACAGGCTTCTGCAGTGACAATATTCAGGCTTCTGCAGTATGTTGGCTCAGAACTGAAATGTTTCCACTTCTGGCGAGGCTCAAGAGGCATTTGTCTGGAACAAGTGTTACTTCAATAGGCTTTGACATTTTAGCATTGTACTGCTTTACTTAGAGATCTACCAGACCCCTTTCCTCACCTGGGTGAACACATGCACTACATGCACTGACAGACCTCTTAACATGGCATCTGTGAAAATGTGAAGTGCCTTTTAACGCAGCAAAAATGTTCTAAAAACGTTCATTTGAAGGCAAAGCAGAATTGACAAATCAGGATTATGTCAAGTATCTTTTTGTTGTTAATTGAACAGGGATGTTTTATTTGTAGGGCAGCATCTATTTATTGATTTGAGTATTGATACAAATGTCCATTACTTTTTTAATTGAATGGTTTTAAAAGGTCATAAAAATGTGAAATCGTAAAATGGCCTATCCTATCACCATGGCTGTTTTCTTAATTTGTCAAAAACTGATTAATGAAAAGAAATAACTTGTTGATAAGTTGTCAAAATACTGTAGGCTGATTTAATTTATGTTTATCAGTTAGTAGATTTCTTGAAAAATGGTTTCAGCCCAGGATACAGCTCACACAATAATGTTCTTTAGCGGATGTTTTTGCCTTTAAAATGGGATCATCTTCACATGAACACTACAGTAATCTTTAGGAATACATGTGCGTTTCCACCTGCATGGTTATTCTCCCTCCAAATGTTTTGGTTCCTTATCTGTGCAGCCGCAGGACTTTTATCTCTCAGAAACAAGAAAAGAGGCTTTTTTTAAATGTTCTAACTCATTATCTCTCATCAGTCTCTCCCTGTCCTTGTCTTCTCCCATCTCTCATGGGAACTGCAGACCCACTTGTCTCCCACACTGGTTTCAGTTGCTGGAACAACATGGCTTATAACCAGCCTTATTAAAACTCTCGCAGAGTGAGACAGAGTCTGGTCCTCCCCCTGCTCTCCTCAGAGCTACTCCAAACAACCGCAGACGCAAAACAAAGCCAAGACCCTAATCCCCTTAATGCAATGCTGACTGGCTGCTCCAAGATTATTGAGGAACTCACAGACCTCCCAACTGTGCTCGAGTGCCACATTCTGCACCTTCCACTGTGAATGTTTCACAAAAAGCTAGTTCAGGCATTTTAGGCAAGAGGCTGATGCTCAGAGAGACTCACACTCATAATGAGGAGAGAGCAAATCCTTGTAGGATTTCTCTCGCCTTGATGTGAAATTCTGTGACTTTTCCATTATTTTCCAAAACATAATCCATTTCATTTACATGTTTTTTTTGTAAGAAGCAACAGCCTGGCTATTTACCTCAGTTGCACTCACTGCTGAGACCTCATAACCACCATCCAGAGCAATACACCTGCAGAGCTGTTAAGATCTGCTTTATTCCTGCAAGGGGACCCACTAATCGTCTTCGATCACCATAACCACAAACATCCAACAGTGAGGAGCTTAACAATTAAACTATATAAATACAAATGGAAAGTATGTCTGATGGCAGTCCCCTTAGTAAGCGTGTATACTCCAATGTAACAGATTTGATGGTATTTAGGAAGCTCATAGCTCAACAGTTGAAAAATATTAATTAAATGATGTTTACATTTCATTACTTTGGAACAATGAGGCAAAGTTTGGTAAGGAGAGCGTAATATATATCTGCAGTCATGTACATTATGTGCCTAAATTCTTTATTTAACCTAGTTCATTTGGCTTTATGTTTTCTTTCTATCTAACATCTATACAGGCCTCTGAAACATGTTGATTATTGAGAAAAATGCACAAGAGCTTTGGTGCTAACTTTGACAGAGCTAAAGTGCCGCAAATAGAATGAATCCGGTAATCTGCATCATGGATCGTTTCATGGAAAGTTTAATAAAAATGTACTAGCAG